TTACATTTAATGTAATTAATTTTTGCTTTATATCATTTTTCATTTCTATAAATTTGTTTTATTTTTTTTTTCTATTTGAGATTATTTTGGTAATAGTTATTTTTTTACTTTATGCAATATATTTTGAGTAAAAGAAATTTCTTTAGTTTGATTAGTCAAATTGATTATGTTGTAAAATAAATAAATAAATTAAATTTAATAGAAATAATATTACTTTCGCTTATTCTTATTACATAGTATTAATTATTAAAAAGTCTCCTATTGGACTTATTCAAACATCTAAAAACTAAACCAGTTCATTATATCAACTGGTTCACCAACCAAGTATAAGAGTTTGGGTTTAAGAAATTTTTCATGTTCAAAAAAAAAATCTAAAAACTAATTATTTAATATTGATTTTTTAAAATTATAAAATATTAAGATATCCTAACAATTAATTTGTCAAAGATTGAGCTTAGGGCTAAGGCAAAAGGTTGAGCTTGGATTGGCCTAGGGTTTCAAGTTTGGATTTTAGGATAGGTTTTTTAATTTGGGTTTTAAGAAAAGTTATTAAGTATTTTAAGATTATTTTAGTGGCCCTAACTTTGTAATTATCTAAAGATGAGTCACATCCGGGTAAATCTCTTCCCGTCCACCTCCCTCTTTTAAAAGAAATACACTATAACCATTGAAGAACAATCTATAACTTGAAATCTTTATATCCATTGTCCCTCACGAATCATTTCTTAATCACTTCAACTAACAATTAATAAACATATAGTACAACCATAGAAAGTAAAAACTTGCCATATAGCATCATCATAAGAAAACAGAGCCAATTTCTTATAAGTTCTCCGTAGAGCCTCTAGCTCAATCCTGATTCCAAAAAGCATAAGTGAAGGACAGAGACATGTGCAAGAGAGAAGCAAACCTTAACCCAAGACCGACAAATCTGCATGGCAGTAGGATAATGATCATGGAGGGGAAAGTCCTTGTACTTTTTATTTATGTTCATTGTCATCCTTGTTCCACTCCAATTTTCATTAGGGTCCTTCTAAAAGCTACAAAAATGTTCATTGAGGTCTTTAAGTGACCCCATTAGTGACATGGAAGCGACAATGTCAAAATATTTTCTAATTTTTTCGAATTATTTTCTGGGGTTATAGGGCACATAGTGTCTCTCCACTCCCCCCATTAGGCCATTACTTTATCATGGTTTAGTGTTGGCAATTGAATAGGTCATACGTGATACGTGGGTGGAGCCACATTCACGTCATTGGTCAGATAGGGCTCTACTAACCGAGGAGAGCCTCACAGGCTTGGATCAATGCAAATTTGAAACCATAGATGCATTCGATCGTCCAGCTATTGAAGGGATAAATGAAGAAAAGGTAGAAACAGTGGAAATAAGGCTCTAGGTTGGTAGGTAGTAAACTAGTAATGGTTATTTTTTGATTAGATTCTAAAAATGAGTTAAATTTAAGAAATTTTTTAAGGAAGTTAGGAATAATAAATTTTAAATTGATAATTTTTTTATGAAAGTAGAAAATAAATAAGTAATATGGTTTAATTCTATTTTTTAAGAATAAATATATTTTTTTACTAAACACTTGATATTTAGAAGTCACATAAAATTTCAATTAATTCAAAATTGAATCAACATCAAACACAATAAGAAAAAAACTCTTTAAAACATATTTTTTTATTTATAAAACTAAAATTTAAAATTTTATTTAAGGAAAATCCAATTCCTCCTACCCTAATCAACATATTACTGATAGAATAAATATTCTCTAATTCTTTACTAAGTTAGACAAATTTTTATAAGTAATTTGTTTTACCATTTGAATTATATCAAATTATAAATTTTTTTTTATATAAAAAATGCTCCCAATATAAATGAATCCACTTGTTATCTTAAAATCTTTATTTTATAGTTAAATTTAGTCTAAACTAAAACACAATTTTTTTCGTATTTTTCTTCTTTAACTAGTACTAAGAAATAGAGAATACCGTGAACCAAACAAGCCCTGACTGACTTATAGACTCCGGGGATCAACTATGGCTATGGAAAGGTGTTTCCTCTCTTTTGGGGTTTGGCAATGGCTTGATTAACTTGGAGCCCCCAAATTGTTTTCTTTAATTCTATAAAATTTTAGTCCTTGAAATTAACTTTGGATCCCGGAGCCAGAAATTTTATTTGTTGGGCATATGCCCTCCCTTCCAAGATTCAGCTGCCTCCCTCTCTTGAATCTCAAGCCAAAATCCGCACACCACGTCAAGCAAATTCATGCCCAGTTGATTATCAATGCCCTCAAATCTACCCCTATTTATGCCAAATTAATCGAGCAATACTGCTCAAAAATCTCTTCCCAAACAACCAAGTATGCCCGTTTAGCGTTCGAACACTTCGAAACGTTCAATCTGTTCCTTTTCAATACATTGTTGAGATGCAGCCCACCAAAGGACTCTATTCTTGTTTTCACCAACTGGGTATCGAAAGGAAAGTTCGTTTTTGATGATTTTACGTATGTTTTTGTGCTTGGAGCTTGTGCTAGATCGAGTTCAGCATCATCGCTGCGGTTGGGGAGACAAATACATGGACGAAGTTTGAAGCTTGGGGTTTTGTCGAACATATTGGTGGAAACTACGTTGATACATTTTTATGGGAGTAACAGGGATGTTGGAACAGCACGTAAGGTGTTCGATGAAATGGCTGAGAGAAGTAGTGTAACGTGGAACGCGATGATCCGGGGATATTGTTCACAGAGAGAAGGAGCTAAGGAATGTTGTAGTGAGGCGTTGATTTTGTTTAAAGAGATGTTGAATGATGATTGTGGGGTCAGACCTACTGATGTTACTATGGTTTGTATTCTGTCAGCAAGTTCTCAACTGGGTGTGCTTGAAGCCGGTGCTTGTATTCATGGGTGTATAGAAAAGACAATTTATGTGCCTCAAAATGATGTTTTCATTGGTACTGGTCTTGTTGATATGTATGCAAAATGTGGGTGCATTCATAGTGCTCTATCCATTTTTCTGCAAATGATTGTGAAGAATGTCTTGACTTGGACTGCCATGGTTACTGGCTTAGCAGTTCAC